GGGACCCCGAGCGGGCATGCCTGGCTCCAGCGAGGCGGCGGGGTGGGGGGACCCGGACCGAGGCGCAGCCCCCCGCAGCCCGCCCCCTCCCGCGCTAGGCTCTCAGCCCCCAGATCCACTCTTTGAACCCTGGACCGGGGGGGGGGGGGCGTCTTTGCGCGTCCCCAGCCGACCCCCAGGGATGCATAGGGGTCGCCATCTCCCCAGGTGGCCAGTCAGCCCAAGGGGGCTGTTCCCTGCCTCCGGTTTTCTGGAAGACACGGACACCTGCAGTAAGGACTAAGCACCAGGTCCCGGGCCACTCCCCACGGGGACCTCGGGCGAGCCCCGGGCCTCCTCTTCCCCTGGGTGGCAGGAGAGCCTGGGGCAGCGTGTAGGCTGGAGTCCAGTTTTGCCGTCCGGGGTGTGTGACCTTGGGCAAGCTACCTGACCTCTCTGGGCCGCCCTTTCACCCATCTGGAGCTCCCTGGAGCTGCACTGGGACAGGCTGATATGCGTCCTCATCCCTGCCTGCAAGTGAACACCCTCAGAGATCAGACCCAGAGCTGGGGAGGAAACCCCAAAGGGAGGCTGAGGCAGGAGAATCCCAAACGCAAGCTCTGCCTGGACAACTTAGAGACAGCAAAATCCTGTCTCAAGTTTTAAAAGAAGGGAGGAGTATAGCTCAGTGTGAAAGCCCTGGGTTCAATCCTCTGTACCACCACCACACGTGCACGCTCACACACACACGCACAACCTTAGAACACCCCCCCCAACCTTTGGTACTACATATTGTTCTGTTCAGATGGGCTGCCTGGAGGAAGAATGTGCCTAGCCACTCTAGGCCGGGCCAGGCAACCCCAGACCAGCTATTGTGTAGGGATTGCCCTTGAAGAGTGCACGACCTATACAACCTTACCCATATAAGGCCTGCTCATAGGCACCTGTGTTTGTCAAGATAGGATAAACTATGCTGTGGTAACAAACAATACTAAAACTTCAGTGTTATTTAAAGTTATTTACTTCTGATGATGTACAGTCCATCCAGGGCAGATAGGCAGGGCTTCTCCCTCAGGAGTTACTGGGGCTCCAGCTGATGAAGGGCCACACCTGGCTGGTGTAACTTCATGGGGCAAAATGTGTGCCCCAGAGGAGAACAGGGGACCAGGTGGCGATGATGGGCACCCAACCCTAACAAGTTTCTTCCTCCACCCCTCTCCAGTCTTCTGGGCCCCTCCACACTCGGGCACCTACCCGCCATCCTGGACTTCACTGTGCTGTCTGTTTTGTTCTCGCAGTACTGGGGCTGGAACTGAAGGCCTCCTGCACGGTGGACAAGCGATTTACCATTGAGCTGCCTCCCCAGCCGTCCCTCGTGTGTGTGTGTGTGTGTGTGTGTGTGCGTGCGTGCATGCATGCGTGCGCACGCGACTGTGTTTTCCTTCAGAACTGGGGATTAAGCCCAAGGCCTTTGCCCTGAGGCTACATCTCCAGCCCTTTTTTAAAATTTTGAGACAGAGTCTTGCCAATGCACTAAATTATCTAAGTTGGGCTTAAATTTGTAATCCTCCTGCCTCAGCCCCCCAGAGTGCTGGAATCACAGGCATGGGCCTCCACGCCTGGATTTGCCTCCCTATTTTAAATTGTACACTCCTCCTGCATTCGTCTTTCCTGCTGCCTTTTTCACTGGCAACCTTTTAAGGATCTAAAGATCACCTTTACTGTGTTTGGAATGCAGGCCAGAGGCTTTTTATCTGTCTGGTTATGTGCTATGTGCCTGCCCTCTGTGATTGGGCCTGGTAGGTGTTCAGGAAATACTGCTGAACAAATGAGCCAGCTGAAGCATGGCTAAGAGTTCATGCTCTGGAACCAGACTGGGGGTGTCCAAAGCCCAGCTTTGCACTTAGGGTGTGATTTGGGGCAATTCATGCCCTCAGTTTGCTTATCTGTACAATGGGAACAAGAACTTGGCCATCTCAATGAGCTCCTGGCTCCTAAGCTGTCTCTGTAGTGCCTGGCAAACTGATGCACAGCGTATATTGACTATTACTATTTTAAAACTTTCAGCCAGGCATGGTAGTTCACACTCGTGTAATCCCTGCACTTGGAAGGCTGAAGCAGGAGGATCGCCATGAGTTTGAGGCCAGCATGAGCTACATAGTGAATTCAAGGCCAGCCTGAATTACACAGCAAGACCCTGTCTCAAAAAGCAAAAAAACAAAATGAAACACCTTTGACTCCATAATTCTACTTCTATCCACTTTTTTTTCTTTTTTCTTTTTGGTACTGAGGATCAAATTCGGAACCTTGAGCTTGTGAGGCAGGGGACGGAACCACTGAACTAAATCCCCAGCCCTTTATCCACTTTTTTTTTTTTTTTTTTTGGTACTGGGGATCAAACTCAGGTCCTTGCACTTCCGAAGCAGGCAATGAAACCACTGAGCTAAATCCCCGGCCTCTTTATCCACTTTTAACAAACTATTAGTCAGAGATTTTTCTGGCACAGATTTCCATATAATAGTGTTCTTCACTGTGTTCTTTTCATATAAAAAAGTTAGAGGCAATCTAAATTTCTACGAAGATAGGATTTGTTAAATAAAATATGTCCATCCTTTGAAGGAATACCAGACAGCCATTAAAATTCAAGTTCTCAAAGAATACTTAATGGCATAGGAAAATGACCAGACCATAATACAAGGTAAAAAAGTGCAATATAATTCTTAAATTGAGTAGTGATAACCTGGATGTTGTCTTATTATTTATTAGTCTATAAACTGAATATATATTCTTCCATATATGTATTACTTCATAAAAATGCAGAAAAAAGCACTATACAGAACTACATGATCCCAATTCAGGTTTCTTTTTTTTTTTTTCTTTTCCCCACAGCACTGGGTTTGAACTCAGGGCCTTGGCACTGAGCTATGTCCCCAGTCCTTTTTTAGAGACAAGATCTCGCTAAGTTGCCCAGGGTGGGCTTGAACTTGCGATCCTCCTGTCTCAGCCTCCCAAATTCTGGGATTACAGACATGTGCCACCATGCCTGGCACAGATTTATATATTTTTGTACATCCCCTTTTCCCTGCACATCCATAGAAAAAAGACTGAGTCCGGGGGTTCAGCTCTGTGGTAGAGCACCACTTGCCTAGCGGATGAAAGGCCCTGACTCCAATCCCCAGTGCTGAAAAAAGGAGGGGATCAAAATCTTTTTTTTTTCTTTTGGTACCAGGGATCAAACTCGGGATCTTGCGCTTTGCAAGACAGGTGCTGGAACCACTGAGCTAAATTCCTAGCCCCTCAAAAAATCTTAACAGTGGCTCCTTCTAGGTGTTGAGATATTGAGAGACAAAAACATTCTTTTTTGTTCTCTACTATATTTCCCAGATCTTTTACAAGGGACATGAAGCTGCAACACTTTAATAATCAGGAAGAGCACGATTTTTGAGGATTGAGGTCAGCATTTTCCAACACTAGCTCCACAGCATGTTCCATAGGTGATGAAGCCAAAATTCCAAGGAACCAGGTAAGTCTGATGAGAGTCCAGTGAAATCTCACAAGGCAAGTCAGATGTGGTGATCTGTAATTCCAGCTACCAGGGAGGCTGAGCCAGGACTATCTCATTTTGAGCCAGCCTGGGCAATTTAGTGAGGCTGTCTCAAAGTAAAAGCAAAAACAAAGGGCTGGGGAAGTAGCTCAGTGGTAGAGCACTTGCCTAGCTTCCAGAAAATTCTGGGGGAAGTGGGGCAAGGAACAATTGTAACTGTTGGATTGGGCTTTAAAAGATGGGTGGAGAGATTGGACCGGTTGGTGAGAAGTTAGAGACGAAGCTGCCAAAATACAGAGGCAGCAAAGTCTAGATATCAGGAGAATTTGCTATTTAGAGGCGGTGACAATCTTGGAAAGTTTGTAGACTGAAAAAAACCCCACCATTGGAATGGCACCATGTGAAGCTGCCCCTTCCACTGAAGGTCTGGAATCTCTCCTTGTGGAAATAATTCCATGTCTCTCTATTAAAATAAACCAAGGAGAGATCCCTTGTCTGCCTTTTGGCTAAGATCAAGTGTAAAATAAACCAAGGAGAGAAGGAGTGAGTCCCAGTGGCCTGGCCTGCAGGCTGCTCCGAGCCTCTGCCTCAAAACCCACGATCCTCAGAGCTCCTTGCTACTGAAGAGCTTGCGGGGTATTCTGGGTATCTGGCTTCCTGCGGGAGCTTGGGTACCACCCTCACCTGGGCAGGGCCACCAAGGGCTGCCCGGGTCTCTCCAGGACTCCAGGACTCTTTTGGGTCCCCTGTGAGAGCCTCTGTCCATCCGGGATGCCCTCCCTCTTCCCTGACCTCAGCCCTGCCTGTCCTAGGGCCCACCCAGCCCCAGACTGGGCTAAGGGTCGATCCTGCCACCCCCTCCTCCAGGAAGTCCCCCTGAGCACTGGAGGCTGAAGCCATCCTTTCTCAGGCACTGCTAGAAAGAGCTGCATCAGCCTCCCGCACACCAAGGCCCTAGGGTTCGGGGACTCGTGTGACCAAAGGAGAGGCTTCCGGGCCTGATTTTCAGGAGTGTCCCAAATCCAAAGGGCGTCCGGGCCGCGGCCTGCGGACCTGCCTGGGGGCAGAGTCAGTCTTCCGGGCCCTGTGGGGCGCTCCGGGACACCCCCAGGCCCTGGACTCACCACGAGGGAGGCCGCGTGGCCCTCCCTGCGCCCCGCAGCCGGCCGAGTGGCCGGGGAACACCTCGCGCCGCGCCCAGAGGGACCTTGCTTTGACTCAGAGCCACAAGCAAATGGATTGAGGATCCCCTGGCGCCCCGGCTCCCCACCCCCACCCTCGGGGCTGCTCTTCCCGAAAAATCAATCATCCTGCCTCAGGGTTTGCGGGAAGTGGGGGGCGGGCAAGAGGGCTCGCAGGGCCCACGCTCCCTCGTAGGGTGGCGGCCCGTGTGGCTGGTGTGTGTGGCCACCTGTAAGGGTAGCCCCAAGGGACCCCAGCCCGGATCTCTGGACTCATTCGCAGGTGGGGGTGGAGTCCCGGGGCGGGGTGCCGTCTGGGTGCGGCCCCAAGGCCTGGGGAGGGTGCGCGCGTCCAGTTCAGTTGTGTTAAGCGGCTGCTAAGCCGGAGGCTGGGCGCAGGACGTTCATTCCTTTATTCATTCATTCGTGGCCGCAGCAGCCTTCCCACACCCCGCAGAGCAGGGCGACCTCGGAGCCTTCCAGCCCTGTGAGCGCTGGAGTGTGACGACCCTCTGGGTGTGCGGTGGGCGGGGCGATGAGGAAAGCACCCCCTTCCCCTCCCCCCGCCTGGCTCCCCCTTTAGGGATTCAGACCCCTTCCCCAGAGTAATGACCCTCCTGCTCCTGCCCAGGCCCCGGACGCGCCCAGGGCCTTCGCACGGATCGCTGGCCCTGTGAGGGCCTCAGCTTCTTTATCTTCACCTCCATTTGACAGACGAGGAAGCTGCGGCTCGGAGAAGCCTGCCTGTTTGAGCCAAGAGTAAATGGTAACCAGCTGGGGCAGTTAGAGGCGCAGGAGGAGGAGGTGGTGCTGGGAGGCGCGCCCTTCCCTGCCACGTGGAGAGCGCTGGCCCGAGAGCCCTGCATCCTGGCAGAGCCTGGGCTCGCCCAGCCGGCTGAGCCTCCACCTTGGGCCTCTACTTCCCCCTCTGTAAAATGGAGTTGCTGATTCCGCCCTGCCCCGCAGGGATGCGGAGGGAGGAACCGGTATCGCGGGATGAGAAAGGCTTCGGAGACTGCAGGGAGCCGCCAGCCCCGGGGCGGCGTCCTCGGCCCTCGGCGGAAGAGGGGGCCCAGCTGGGTCCCGGTTCTAGCAGCGGCCTCCTCTGCGGATCCAGCTGGGACCTGGGAGGGGGGCGTGGAGGTACAGGCCCGGCCGCCGCCGCGCGCCCTAGCTGGTGTGAGCTAATTGGACGGTGCTGATAAAGGCTGGGCCGCCCCGGGCCCTCGGCCTCCGATAACATCGTGGTGTTCGCAGGTGCTGACATCCCTGCTGGCTCCGGCAGGCTGGCTAGCGCCGCGTTACCAAATCGCAGTAATTGAGATTAATTTGGGGGCCAATTGGGTCAGCCCTCGCAGGCACCCATTAATTAGTGGGGGAGCTGGAGCCGCTGGGGGGGCGGTGCAGAGAGCCCGGGCTGGGTAGGAGTCCCCGGGCACTCGCCGGCCTGAGCCCCCTCCGCCTCGTACCCCCTCTGGCCACCCCGTGCCGAGCGCCTCCGCCCAGCCCAGGACGGAGGGGGACCTTTGGGTCCCCAGGGTTAAAGGGCTCATTACCAGGGTGGGGGAGGGGCTTTGGACATCAAACAGCTCTTGCAAAACTTCCAGATGAGTTAAGTGCAAATGAATTTGGAGCAGACAATGAGGTTCCCTTTAGAGACACCTGGGCAGAAAAATGAAGGGAAAAGTGCCCCAGGGAGAGCTCATTTGGGTTTTTTTTTTTTTTCCTCCTGAACCCAAAACACACAGGGAAAAACAAACCCACCCGTCTATACCAGGTGCCAGAGGCGGGCAGGCGTACCCTGACGCAGTGCTGTGCTGGCTGCATGCGGGGTACACACACGGAGCCGAGGGCAGCGGCTCGGACGAGTGCGCAGAGGCAGAAGTGCTGGGCACGCATGTGTGGAGGTGTCCCGGGCCTGGATGGCACTGGGATGGAGCGAGAGAGGGTGAGGGCAGGGCTGAGGTGAGGGGGCCAGGGGCTGCCCCTGGCACCTCCTGGCTACTCCCGCGCTCCGGGCCCAGGGTGGCCCAGGCACTGGCCGAGCAGCTGAGGTGTCTGTGGGGGACCAGGGCTCTGCATGCCCCACCTGCTGCCTGACTTGCTCTGGCTAATTGCCCAGGTGTTGTGTTTTCCCCTTGAATCTCAGAGGGACAAAAGCGGGTTGAGTCACCGGGAACCGGCCCCGCTTCCACCCACTCTGGAGCCCTGCCTTGCCCCACCCAGGGGATCTGAGGACCCAGAGGTGCAGGCGGCTGGGGCCTGGCCCGGGTTGACCTCAGGGAGCCGGGGACCCTGCTGTGCCTTCCAGGTGTCCCCACTGATGGCCAGCACCCCAATGGCCCAGGGTGTGTGACCTCCTTGAGGGCCCTAATGGAACTGCCTCATCTCTACAGCGCATTTGCAATTCATGGCTCCAGCTGAGATTGCATTAGGGCCTGGCTGTCACTTGTGATGAATGTCGCTTGTTTTCCAGAAAAAAGCGGGCCCTGGATGCAGAGTGACAGAGCCTCAGGAGGCAGCTGCCCTACCCTGGCCTAAAGACCAGGGCATGGCTGGTCTCCCCAGTGGTCTCGGGACTGCTTCTCCCGGGGCTCTCAGGGGCCCTGCAGGTCACCATGCTTTCTGGATTCCCTGTCCCGCAGTGTTCCCCCAGCAGCCCTGCAGGGGCCTCTGCCTGAGTGGCCCCACTGGACAGATGGGCAAACTGAGTTTGTGAGAAGAGAGAAGGTAGATGAAAGTGCGTGAACTGCAGGCAACCTGGGGCGAGGACCCAGCATTTGGAGGCAACAAAAAGTCCTGCAAGGAGTCCTGGAGATGATCAGGAAGGTCAGCTGACAGAGAGGAAGAGGAATCCCGTGTCTGCCCCAGGGCTCCCCATGGCTTGCCTGGGCTTGCCTCTGCTTGCCCTTTCTCCCTGACATATCTGACACCCTGGCTCTGATGGGGACAGAAAGAGGGAATTCCCACCCATAACCAGGCCAGAGGACAGATGGCCGGGTGTGGGAATTACCTGCAGTCTCAGCTGCGGCCCTCTTTCATGTCCCCTGCTCTCTGCTTCTCGGAGTCAGTGTTCCCCAGGCCTTTTGCAACTGTGAAGCCTGGACAAGCCTCCTTGGTTCCCTGCTCTCTCTCAAGAACTTACACTGGCTCCCACTTTGCCACCAGTTTCCCAAATTGTATTCCATTTTTATCCCTGCTCCTGTCCTTAACATTTGGGAGGCACAGCCTGGCAGAGCAGCAGCCAGACAAAAATAATTCCACCCATGGGTGACTTCTAGGCCCATTCATTGGGGAAAGAACAACGGCTCACCTGGGGGCAGCTTTGATCTTGTGCCCTCTCATCTCTGTAACTTGACACAATTCGGGCAGAAGTAGGTGACTAGATCATGCGAATGCCCTGGTCACAGATGAGGAAATTGAGGCTGGGGGCTCATGGCAAGAGGTAGGGAAGGGCAGGGATGTACCCTATACAGGTGCAAATTCTCTATGATGATGAGCCATATATCATTATGTATGCCTAAAATGTACCAGTACATGTTGTGCTATTAAAAAAAAAAAAGGTAGGGGCCCTGTGTCCCCTCCTGCCAGAACAGTGTAGCCAGAATAGCGCCTGGCAGGCCAGAGGATGAATGAATGAATGAGTCAGCAGCCTCAGCAGGAGAGAGTGGCACCTGTGGGTGGCTGGAGCGCTGACCACCTCTCCTGACCCTTGGCCTGGGAACAGACAACCTGTGGGCACAGCCTGTGGGCATCCCCACTACGAGGAGAGCTGATGGGGGCAACACCTGGCTCTCAGCCCAGCAGAACCGGGTTCCATGGCACCAGCCCCCCCAAAGGGACCCAGGTAGTGCAGACCAGAGGGAGAAAGCTACCCTGTGCTGAGGTCTGCGGCCTGAGCCTGACCCCTGTGTGCCAGGCACTGTGGGATGGGGCACTGTGCTCTCTCCTCTCTGGGACAGCCCGCCGATGTGGGTACCGCTGTCCCTCGGTTCACAGGGGAACTAAGACTCAGAGGTGCAAGGTGGCCTGGCTTGGCCTCAATTTCTGGGCTCTTGGAGCAGCCATGGGCGCCGCTCTGTGGCTCCCGGTCCACCCAGTTAGCTTCAGATCCCCTCATGTGGCCCCCCAGCCCCAGCGCCCAGTCTCCCTGTCCCTCCCCTTGGTGGCAGAGGTCGGTCTGTCTTCCTGGAATGAGAACAGCTGAGTGGCCTTTGGGAGCATTCAGAGGCCAAGCATCAAAGCCAACTTGGTACCCCACACTCCAGCTGCACTTTCCGGGCAAAGGCTGGAGCCAATCCAGAAGACAGAGAGCTGGGTTCAGATCCCAGGGCCAGCCCTTCCTAGCCGTGAGACCTCAGATGAGCTATTGCCTTTCTCTGAGCTTTAGCTTTCTCATCTGTGAAATGGGCGTGACTATGGCTGATGCCACTCAGTGGGCCTGAGGCCAGGCATCCGGGGGCCTTGATAAGAATGGTGAGGACCCCACCCCTTCTATAGACGGTGTGCTGTCTGCTGTTGGGAGCCAGTGGGCACCGCCGCTCCAAGTCCCCAGTGCCCACTCCCTCCCGTCATCAGCCCGTGCTGCTGTACCATTCCTCCTGCCATCTGTCAGCGCCAGCTGCCGCTGAGGTACCATGCAAGCCCCCAGATGCCCCAGGGCCCTGCCACGCCCTGCTCCCCCCTGGACATTACAGCCCAGATAGGAGCTCTGGCACCACCCCCACTCACCCAAGGGCACCCCTCCAGCCTCACCCAGGGCCCCCTGCACCCCCAGGGACTCCTCAGGAAGCTGGGGCCCGGTGGGGCGCAGGCTGGAAGGCTCCCCAGGCTCTCAGAGCGCACCCCACCCCTGCTGCCCTCCGCCAGGACCCTACCACATCCTGCCGCAGCCCTGGATCTATTTCATCAAGCCAAGGATTGCTTTTTAAATAAATCTAAAAAACTCCACTTCCTCCTTGGCAAGTTCATTTTAAGTCATTTTATCTCTTTCCCCCCTATATTTTTCCCAAATAATGTGATTAAGTGACTCAGCGCCGGCTGCCTCTGGCAGGCCTAGCCTCTAATTCACTTTGAGGACAGTCCCCTTTGACCCTACTCCACTCAGGCTAAGAGGACACTTAAGCTGAGTTCCAGGGCTTCCTACGAGGGAGGCAGGCGGGTGGGGGCCGGCGAGGATGGGGGGCAGTTGGGGCGGGCAGGGGGAGTGAAACAAACTTTCACATAAAATTATGGTATATGGATAATTGAGAAGTTTAAAAACATGAATCTAATTGTACAGTCCCCGGAGAAACCATATCGAGCCACCCCTATAAGAGGCCTGGAATCTCCCGATGATGATTTATTGCTAAATCCTAGTATTTTTCAATACATTATAGTTTTTAAATTGTGTTTAAATTGAGTGTAGAAGAGCAGAGGCCATTAGGAGATGCAGAAATGATGATTATATTTAAATATTCATGCACGCAGTACCTTATTATTGAATCTGAACACTAACAAAATCAATATTAAGTGCGGTTTGACATGAATTTATTTATGAATTTCGACTTTCTAAGTACTGTATTTTTTCACTCAAAAATTGTGAGTATAATGTAGTAATGATATCAAAACACAGTGTCAGGGAGCATTAGCCGGGGAGGTTATAAACCTCTGGATTAGGGGGCCTCAGATTGCCCTCAAAAGTGCTTAGTATACAAAACCCAATTCTTTTTTTTTTTCCCTCCCTGTTTCTGAATCGCGCAAATCCACATACAAAGGGCGGGCAGCTGGCAGGAGGGGGAGGAAGCTAGGCTCGCTGGAGCGGCTGGTGTAGACACTCAGCTCCAGGGGGCTGGGGTACAGGGAACCCAGGTTCTCTGGGAGGTCCTCGCCTGCCTGCTTCGGGCCAGGAGACCCTGGGATCCTGACGTCTCTGGGGTTCAGACCCCAGAGGGGGCCCTTACTGGGGTGAGGAGAGTCTGAAGATGTCTTCGCTTGCTAGACTTCAGATTCTGGGGCACAGTGGGCCTTGTCCTTTCCATCCTCTGCTCCTCCTGTGCTTCTATGTGGGGGCCCTTCCCCTCCCTGCTGCTCGGAGTCCTCCCTGGCCCAGAGCCCACCTGTGAGCCCAGCATGGCCACATTGGCGTGAGGTGGCTCCCACACACAAGGAGCCACCTTGCTGAGCCCCATTCATTTACACACAGATCTCAGGGCCCTGTGTGTGATACACACACACACACACACAGAGGAGGAAATGGAATCAGGGACCTGCCATGGGGAGACCCCGCTTTCCAGATGGGAAGATCTCCCTGGGAATGCCATCTTCGGACACTGACCACATACATTTGCATCAGCAGAGACCCAAACTCAGGCCCCATGTCTGCCTCAGCCGCTTCACTGAACCATAAACCTGACCCTGACCACCAGCGCCCCCCACCATGGGCTCAGACGGACTCTTGAACCCCACTGTCACCCCACTGCACAGGGCTCACCCTCCCTGGGGCCCGTACAGCAGCGGGAAACACAGGCCCAGCCTAAGCAAGCAGCCCCCTGGCCCTGTCCCGAATAAGTACACAGAGTCCACAGCCACAGTCCCCTGCTCGGACCCACCGTCGTCATTGCATACAGCCCCCTACCTCAACATCCAGACACCCCACAGGCACACAGGCGCTCTGATAGACACAGCACACCCCTGCATCGACACAGAGACACCCCACTTAACACAGGCACACCCAACACTTACGTGCCCCCACCTCTCAACACCCCAAGTCCTGGCTGCCACTGCGGCCTCCGGTGGGGGCACCGTGGGGCTGGGGGAGTCAAACAGCACTTAGAAGGTTGATTCGGAATATTCATCAGCCTCTGGGAGGGAAGCAGCAGCCCACGCAGGGGGTGGGGGAGAAAAACCCAACCCGACCCTAAACTCTTTTCCAGTAAATCGATGTATTTTGCTATAATTTTATTAGGAATATAAAAGGAGCCTTTTCAAAAGTGCTTAGGACGCAAAAAAAAGAGGCGGGTGATGGAAACATTAGTCTGTCTGTGTTAGCAATCCCATAGTCACATTTTATTGTTACTGTCAGGATGCAAAAGCTGTGCTTAAAACAAAATAATACATAATGTATTACTGAGGCATAAACATGAGCGAGCTGCGAGCGGCCGGCGTTTTTATTTTAAAAAGAAGATGCAAAAAAAAGGATGGAGGGCCAGGGCCAGGTGGGGGAGGGGAGGGGCTGGAGGGGCGGGGCTGGGACCCCAGGCCCAGGAACGCAGTGCCCACGCGGTGGAGGGAAGGCTGACACCCCCGGGATGATTCCAACCACAATATCATCCTCAGAGCTCCCCAGGAAAAACTGGACCCCCAAAGGAATCCCAGGCTCTGAGTTCTCCCACCATCATCCGACTCCTGGGTCCCTTATGGTCGCACCCCAACTCCTGGGTCCCTTTTGTCCCACCCTGACTTGGACTCCAATGACAGGCAGCTGCTTTTGTCCTCATTTTGCAGATAAAGACATTGAAGCTCAGAGAGGGATAGTCAGCAACTCCAGGTCACACAGCCTGAGGGTCATGGCCAAGACTAGAACCCAGGGCAGAGGGCTGGTGGTGGCTCAGTGCCCCTTCTGTACTGAGCCTCTCAGGGGCCTGCAGCCTGGGACTGGCCTCTGGGGCCCTGAAGGGGGTCTCTGCTCCACCCTTGCACCTGCATTCCATCCTCCCACATCAAGAGCAGTCTTCCAAAGGCCAATGTGTTCCTCCAGGTCTAACACAGTGTTCAGTGCTGCTCCTCCCCCGCCTGGCCCCTCCCCGGCATCCACAGAACTTCCCTCTCGTCCCCAGCCCACTAAGCTCCACCCTGCCATAGGGCCAGGGCTCCTGCTGCCCCTCTGCCTAGCAAGTTGCTTGGGACTCTTTACAACAAACACCCGCTCCTCCAAGCCGTCCTCCTGAATCGCCCAATCTGAATGAGACCGTCGTCACTTTTTGTCTTATCTCTGGTTTTTCATTTACCTGCTCTTTGCCTGTTTGTTCTGAACTAGGGCAAGAGAAAGTAGGGGCCCCATTGGCCTTGTTCGCCGCAGTGCCCCGGCACCTGGCACAAGCACAGTCCGTGTGTTCGGTAGAAGGATGAGTGGGTGGACAGCGCTGCTACTTGGCTGTCTTTGCAGGAGCCCAGCTGAGCCCCAGGCACCTCTGGCTGGGTGGCTCATCCGGGGTCCCCAAGTCCCTCGGGGCCAGCCCATCTTCCCGTGTTTGGGGACTCTACACCCCGCTGGAACCAGGGCTACTAACCAGGGGCTGAGCCATGGAAGCCCGCGCCCTGCAGCACTTCTGGGCCGAGCATGGCCTGAACATCCGGGTGAGTGACCCTACCCACCCCCGCCCCGCCCATGTCCCTCCCTATTCCCTTGCCTGGGCCCCCATCAGCCAGCTGCTCTAAGAACTTTCAGGACACAGTTGTTGAGAGTAGAGTCCTGATTCAGCTTCCTATTAGCTGTGTGACTTTGGATATTGTGCCTTAGCCTCCCAGGGCCTCAGTTTCCTCATCTATGAAATGGGGACAGGAATAGTGTATAACCTCATCGGCCTTTGGGGGGATTTGGAAGGACGTGAGG